AGTAACTAGGGAAAGTAATGACTGTGTTCCTCAGACTCTTGGAAACAGAGCAGTTAGCACCCAGGACAAGACGCCTTTACAGTTTACTTCAAATTCTATTAGATTATTTCAGTGGGATAAATGGTGGGTTCTTTTTTTGATGTGTTGAGGGCTGTGATTGAGACAGGGTCTTACTGTGTAGACCATGCTGGCCTCAAACACAGAGATTCACCTGCATCTGCCTCAGCCTCCCAAGTGCTAGAATGGTGCTTGAATGTCCCTCCCCAAGAATATGCCACATAGACTCTGAAAGAGCAGAACTGGCTATTCCAGCTTTAATAAATGTATTAACCTTAGCAGTCATCTATGTAAATACTAAAAAGAACTATCAACACCAGGGTAGTGGTATTAGATATTTGTTAAGATTTAAGACACTGACATTTAGAGGATGCAGGACTTCTGAGAGTGAAGAGAGCAAGGCTCTGGGTGCAGACGGGAGCTCACCTTTCACACTGTTGTGTCTGTCCATGGCTTTGTCTCAAACAGTAGGAGGTTGGTGCTTGGAGCTTTTCTCAACACCCAAGCTACTTATAGCCACAAATCACCTACAGATGGGCAAAGGTCACCCATAGTCTGTGAGAGACAGTAACATCCACAATCTGTGAGGGATAGTAACATCTATAATCTGTGAGAGATGGTAACATCCTCAAAACAGGGTCCCACCCCTCACTTAGCCCAGCATCATGAATCTGCCAAGCAGATCCATGTATTAAAGAGGGGTAGGGGGCCCGGAGAAGCAGTCTGAGAAAAAATCAGAAAGATGGGTCAAAGCTGGTCTACAGAGGCTCATGTTGAAGGCAGCCAAGGCTGACCTTTGTCCCCTGGAGTTGGGAAGGAACCTGATAAAAGCCACATGCAGAGGCTTTCGAAAGGAATCGTAGCACTTCACAGTGAAACTGGACATGAGAGAAAACTGGAGATGGGTGACTGGCCATCCAGCCTTCTCAGGGACCTTTTATTTATTGTCAGATAAAATTCATTTACATCATAGCTGCCTTCCTCTTAGATAAAAAATGTCTCATGTTAAATCAAATCAAGAAGCAAAGAAAAATAGGATGATACTGTAAGGGCCTGAAAGACAGGAAATAAGATGGTACAGTAAACCCTATTTATAACTTTGGAATCCCAGAACGTATACATCTCGCCAAAGTAATTCCTCCCGTAATAGGCCATGAAATATGACTTCATTGGAGCAGATACATCTGCAACGCAAGTTGAAAGTCCCCAGCCACAGGGAAGTGGGTCTGTGGCTTGCCAGACACCTCACCCACTGGGAACTGCCCCTCCCACCCTCCTGGGATAGCACAGACCTTCATTTGGAGCCTCCACAGAACTCTGCCTTTAAAGTTGTAGTTCTTAATACTGGCATTTTCCAAAGTGCATTTGAGGGAAGCCTAGTCTTCTCTCACTGGACTGAATTACACTCAGACTCCTTTCAGGAGCCCTGTGGGTGCCCCCAATGCTGCCTGTGTCTCAGATTCCATTAACCACAGCCTCCCCTCTGACCAGACCCTGGCATCTACAAATACTTCCTTTCACTGTCCACCTCCAGCCTAGACAGTGGGAAACCCATAGAAACCCCCCTGGGACAGATGGCCCAGTTATGAAGGTGCTAGCCAACAGCCTTAGATAACTGGTGATAAGAACAGGATGTCCCTGAGGTGACATTCAGATGCAAATGATGCTTTTCTGACTTCCAAGATTAAAGTCAGCTAAATATTTTTAATTAAAATACATATTGTAACTGGCATCTCAGCACATTGCAATTGACATGTCAGATAAGCACTCCCTAATGAAACGTCATATTTAATGACTGATTCTAAAATACAGAAGACTCTAAATTGAATTCGCTAAGCATGTTTTCCCTGTGATCCACTTTGTCTGATAAAAGAAATTGTTTTTTCAAAATTAAAATGTTAGCCAACTCCTCACCTATGATCCATGTTTTCATTAACATTCACCAACGCATACCTACCAGAGAGTTGTACCATCTGTCCTGAGGAAGGAAAGAAGCACAGCCAACTACTGTGCAAGCCGCAGCCAAGACCAAGGAAGATGATTCTGCGTCTTCCCCCAGGCCAGGGATTAGGGCCACACAGCTAGACTAGTGTCCAAGCTGGTTCTCACCTTTTTAAAAAATATTTCATTATTTTTGTGTGTATGAGTGTATTGCTTCTATGGATATAAGTGTACCCAAGGGTGTCAGAGTCCTCTGGAACTGGAGTTACAGATGGTTGTTAGAGCCATGTCGGTGCTGAAAATCAAACCTGGGTCCTCTGCAAGAGCAGCCAGTGCTCTTAACCACTGAGATATCTCTCCAACCCTGAGTCTCACCTTTTTTTTTGGTTTTTTTGAGACAGGGTCTCTCTGTAATCCCAGCTGGCCTGGAACTCACTGAATAGACCAGGCTGGGCTTGAACTCACAGAGATCCACCAGTCTGTGTCTCTCTCTCAAGTGCTGGGATTAAAGGCATGCACCACCATGCCCAGCAATTCTCGCCTTCTTTAGAAAAGAAAATGGTGTCAGAGTAGAACAATCCTATCACCTCTGTTGCCTCTGGGTTTTCTTTCTGTAATCACCTACTACCACCACCTTATTTTACTTTTTGAAACAGGTTCTTACTAAGTAGCCCTAGCTAGCCTGGAACTTCCTGTATAGACCAGGCTAGCCTCAAACTCACAGAGATCCACCTGCCTCTGCATCCAGAGTTCTCAGACTAAAGGCATGTGCTACCACACCCAGTCTGTCTTTTTGTTGTTGTTTTTTGTTTTGTTTTTTTTTAATTTTTTTTTTAGTTCAGCAATGGGAGATGGGCCGCTAGCTGTTTTAGCTTACAGAGTTTCTTCAGATGAAAACCCTCCTATTCCCAACCCAGTGACAGGGCTGAGAGTCAGTGGGCAAGAGCAGTGGTCCCTGGGCCTATGAAGAAATACAAGAAGTGATGCTCTTTAAGTCACTTCCAGTGGGCATCATAGACATACCTGTAATCCAAGTACTTGGGAGGTATAGGCAGGAGGCTCAGGAGTTCAAGGTCATCCTCCACTACATAGGCCAGCCTGGACTACATGAACACTGTCTCCAAAAAAAGTCAATAAAAAGATTCCTTTCTTCCCACTGAGAAGTCAAAGCTTGAGGCGCTGTGCATGATCACCTGGCTTTCTTCCCTGGCTGGTTTTCTTTGCAAGTGAACCAGGCCTGGCACTCCAGTTGGAGGCCCGGGGTGCAGTCAGCATAGGAAGTGAGATGCAGTGCCATCCCTTGTTCCCTGTTCCTCTTCAGCATCCTCCTCACCACAGCTAACGGGGAGCTGTTTCACTGTCCATATGGACCCAGCATGGCTTGGAAGGCAGGATGTTGACAGAGAGGGTGCAAGGAATGGTGGGGACATGGCCTGAAAGCAGGTGGGGCCTCTGAAGCACAGCGTGTTCCAAGGACTGAATGGACTGCTGTTACTGCTGTGGTTCAGTAGAGGAGCACAACCTGGCATCAAGTGCCCCCTGCTGCTGATGTGGAGAAGGACATGCCAGAACTAGAGCTGTCTGGGGAAGACAGCAAGGGCTGGAGAGCAGGCCCAGTGAGGAAGCCCCAGGCATCCTGGGAGGGCAATCAGAGGAGACCTTTTACCAGTAAAAGTGCTGCTTTGGGGTTGGAGATTCCTGGTTGCTCCTTCTGCAACTTTACAGTGTGCTCCCTGGTCCCATGGTGTCACTTTCACCCAGGAGCCTGTTAGAAATGCAGACTCAACCAGGCATCCTAACTCAGGTTTGTAATCCCAGCTACCTAGAAGGTTGAGGCAGGAGGGTCACAAGGGCCAGGCCAGCCAGGCCAACTTAGGAGACCATGCCTCAAATTGAAAAAAGAGTAGGGAGCTTTTTGAGACAGGGCCTTACTATGTAGCCCTGGCTAGCCTGCCTCTTACTTGTAACCAAGCTGGCCTCAAACTCATGAAATCCTCCTCCTTTGGCCTCCTGAGAACCAGAATTACAGCCATGGGCCACATGTCCAGCTTGAAAACAAGACTTTTTAAAAGACTGACAATTTAGCTCAGTGTCTAGAGCACTTGTCTAGCATGCATAAGGCCCTGAGATCAGTCCCCAGCACCATAAAATTTTTTAAAACAAGAATTTCAATCTTCATTTTAAAAGTTCCCCATGAATTCATGTGCATTTATATTTGAGAAGCCCCAGACATACCTTCAGTGGAGCTTTAACCCTGAAGAAAGTCCACATTTCAGGCCAGCAAGATAGCGCCGCAGGTAAAGGCATTTCCCACCAAGCCCTGACAGCCTGAGTTATATCCCCAGGATCCACATGGCAGATGGAGATGCCTACTCTGCACATTGTCCTCTGACCTTTACACATATGCCCTGGCACAGTGCATGCACACACACACCCCACTATGTAAATAAGTAAATAAATAAATGTAAATTTATGGTAAACTGAATTGCATTTGGTGGGAAATAAGACAAGCAGCCTGATCCTCTGTTGACACTGTGGCTGACACTCTCACTGCCCTCACATCTCAGCAGCTCTAACCAAACACCCTGCAGCTTGCTGTATTTCATAGTGCTGTATTTCCACAGAAGCTGACAGTCACCTTGCAGCTTCCTTCTAGATTAGGGTGTTTCCAGCAAATATGTGGCGATCTGGTTTTATTCCTGGTGGGGTCTGTGTGTGTGTGTGTGTGTGTGTGTGTGTGTGTGAGAGAGAGAGAGAGAGAGAGAGAGAGAGAGAGAGAGAGAGAGATTCCTTGTTTACCCCCACCATCCACCTCCCATCCCCCCTCATTTCCTGTGTATACCCCTCTACCATTACTGCTTAAAGTAGGCCCCTGAGCCTATGAAATGGAGCTCTGCTCCCCAGCCCTCTCCCTGGGTCTGCTCAGCCTATGCTCCCCACCCCAACCCTCTCCCTGGGTCTACTCAGCCTGTTGCTAACCTGGAGTGTTTTTTCTATGCCAGGTCAGGGAAGAATGCCGGCTCCTGAACGCCCCACCTGTTCCACCCCGAAGCGCAAAGCCTTTGTCCACAAGTCCCTCCGTCCCTCCTCGCACAGTCAAGCCAGTGCGGCCCCAGACCCGCTCTCCCAGCCCCACCTTGTCTTATTATTCTTCAGGGCTGCACAACATGTAAGTCTTCTGCCAGAGCTCACTGCAACCAACTGTAAGGCTAGTAACAGCCAGTTCACCAGCCATGAGACTTACAACTAGCACCGGGGCGGGAGAGAAATGTTTGCCTTTTGAAAGTAGTTTTACAGGAAGAGCATAGTTGGACTCCTGTTGGTGTTGACTGGATGGAAGAGCCAGTGTCTTGATAAGGAAAATGCCACCAGGGTCTGTGAGAAGTTAGTGATGGAGCCGCCTCGGCTCTCTCAGAAGCACTGTTGTTTCTCAGAGGTCAGCACTGGGTTCTCTCCACCTTGATCTTGACACAAGCAGACAGCAGCTTCCACAGACCAAAGGCTGCCATTGGCCCTCTGCTTGACTTCCACCCAGCAGGAATCCCCTCCTGCCTGTCACTGTGCGTGGCCATTCCCTCCTGCCTGGGTCATCCTGAAGCCATGAGCTCTATGAGGTACAGTCTGTGTCATTGCTGGCAAATGGAAATCTTTTTGAAAGAACTCTTCAGTACTTAGGTTAAAGATAAATCCATCTCCAGGTCACTTTCAGCTCTTCCTTACATCTAGAGCATCAGAATGGGCCCACCCCACTTCTCCCTGAAAACTTTAAGCCGCCATGACATAAGGTTATCTCCAAAACAAAGTGCCCGTTTCATCCACTGTTCCCCAAGATGTGGCCGCCTGCTTCCTCTTTAGCCTGATCACCCACCTTTCAGCACATTCTGGTTCCACTCTCTTAAAATACGAAAATGTGGCCCCCAGGCTGAGGTGCCCCCACCCAGGCTGAGGTGCCCCCACCCATGCTCTGCACATTTAGGGTCACTGTCTGTGCAGGCCATTTGCTGCCGCTCTGTGGATGTTGAAATCCTGCTACTTGGGGGGCTGGAGAAAGGGCTCAGTGGTTAAGAACACTGGTTGTTCTTGCAGAAAACCCAGGTTCGAATCCCAGCACCCACATGGCAGCTAACAACTGTCCGTAACTCCAGTCCCAGGGGATCCGACAGCCTCTTCTGACCTCCATGGTCATTGCACCACATGGGTGCACTTACCCACATTCAGGAAATACATGTATACACATAAAATAAAAATAATAATTTTTTTTTTAAATCCTGCTACTTGAAGACTGTTGCTCAGAAATCAGGGCAAGTATCGGTTCTATGGGAAACATCTCTTCCCATCTCGGACTTTTGGGAGGAATCAGAGTCCTACATGGTGCTGATGCAGCCATGCCAGGGCCTCACATTCGGTGTGCATGCGGCTCCTGTCACCACCCTGTCTCTTACCCTTTCCTACTGCAGACATCACCGTTCAGACCCTGACCAAAGCATGATGTGAGAATTTTTCTCATCATGAAGATGCAACTGTTAGCAGGCTTTCTTGTTGGGGAAAATATACCGATACATGTGTATTAGCTCCCCTGCACATTTTCAAGTCATGTGATATTCACAAGTACACATGCACTTTGATTCTTTTTAAAGGGGAAAAAAAAAGTTAGCAGGTACATTATTGAATTCAAGGTAAGAAATACACGTACATTTTCTTTTCCTGACTGCCCTTTTCTGCTTAAAAATAACATTTGTGAGTAATGAAAGGCTTGAGGCTGGGCGTTTACTTTCTGCTAATGTTCGTCCCTGTGTTTGCTTCTTAGCAGTGTTACCAAAAGTGACACAAGTCCTCCTGACAGTGCTCCTGTTTCCTGCTACCCCTGCAACCGAGTGAAAAGTGACTCTGCGGACCCCAAGTCCCCATTCGGAAGTCCTTCTGCCGAAGTGCTGTCCACCAGGCTCTCCTGGCCCAACCATTACTCGGGGGCATCAGAGAGCCAGACTAAGAGTGACTTTCTGCTGGATCCAAGTAGGAGCTACAGCTACCCCAGACAGAAGACCCCCGGGACGCCAAAGAGAGACTGCCCCGCCCCTTTTGATTTTGATGGCTGCGAGCTCCTGGGCAGCCCACCTGCCACCGGCACTGCCGAGTTCAACAGCAGCGTGTCCACTTGCCCCAAGTCGGCCAGCTACTCTCTGGAGAGCTCCGAGGACAGTGTGCTTGCAGCTGGCATGACCAAGCAGAGTGTCTCCTGCCCTGCCTTACCCCCCAGGGCCCCAAAGCCAGTGGAACAGAAAGTCACCCCTGAAACATCTCCTTTGCCCCTGAAAATCGATGGTGCTGAGGAGGACCCCACGTCAGGGTCACTGGACCTCTCTGAGGACCGGTATTTTGTCAAAAAGGGCATACAGGGAATCCCTGCCTCTCATCCGTTCTCATCTCCGCTCCACCTCCAGTTGGCCCCCAGGTCCTGTGGTGATGGGTCCCCTTGGCAGCCACCCTCCGACCTGTCAGGACTCTCTATAGAAGAGGTGTCCAAGTCTTTACGGTTCATTGGTTTGTCTGAAGACGTCATAGCCTTCTTTGTCACTGAAAAGATTGATGGGAATTTGCTTGTTCAATTAACAGAAGAGATCCTCTCAGAGGATTTCAAACTAAGCAAACTGCAGGTGAAGAAAATAATGCAGTTTATTAATGGCTGGAGGCCCAAAATATAGCCAAATGGCCCCAACCAACATGAGACAGAACCGAACCATGTGCTAGAGGGGTGGGCTGGGACACACATTTGTGTTTTTGCACTAAAACAAAACAAACTTCTGTAAATAGGATAAGAGAAATACTACTATGCAGATTCCGTTTTTGAATGGTGAACAGGCTATTTTGTACATCAATAAAGATGCTGTACAGAACACTTAGAGGTGTGCCTTGTACGTCACTCAACATTCAACAGCTGCTAAAAGAGCTAAAGGCGAATTCAGAGAACTCCTTCTTACCCCAGTAGGTGTTCAAGGAGGTGTGGTATTTATTACAAAATAGCCAAAGCTGGAAGACATGAGAATCTTAAAAAACGACAACACTTCTAAGCAGTTTCCTTCGTCGGGGGATCGACTTTAGATATTAACTGTGTCCCATGTGCATCACTTCATGCCAACTGTTTTACTCTCGTGCCTGAAAATGTTAGTGATATGAAATGACCCTTTACTGTTGTATGCTTGGTGGAAATCTTTTTCTCAAAAGGCATTTTCTAAAATTCCTGTCTTGATAGAAGATAACTGGTGTCCGAAGGATTAGCACGAATCATGACTGTGACGTTTGACCTGTAGCCGCTGCTAGGATGAAATATGTGTAGACAGGTACATACGTGCACACGTGGATAAGTTTTCAACATAATTTTGAATCAGATATTTTAGGTAATACCTGTTTACTTTCAATACCCATCGGAGCGACCTTTAGCTGAGTGCGTTCTCTTAGGGACGGTTGGTAGAATGATTCCAAAGACTCTCAAAGCCTCAGCCTTGAAGCTCAGCCTCCTTCGGCTCCATCCCAGAAAACATGGAGGAGATCAGTAAAGCCTGCTGAAGATCAACTGTGATTTTTTTTTTTTAAGCCCGTGGGAGGGCTGATTTTTGCATATCCATGCTGACATTTGGGAAAATGACAGCTACTTTTGAACAACCATCCCCTCCGCAACCCTTCCTCTGCCAATGAGAGATCTGAAGGAGCATTTCTCTACGTGTGTGAGGTATTGTCAACATGCGTCTAGTTTTAGGAAAGTTTGTGAATCAGACCATCTTTCTAGTGTATATGCCACTGCTGTGCAATGATCTTAAAATATCAGTAAAAGCACATGCTAACTTCATGACCCTCCCCTTCCATTTCATGACCCTCCCCTTCCTGTCTTCTACAGAAAACACAGCAGCAGCACACTTTTAATCTGAGGATTCCTAAACATGAGTCGGAGAATTTTGCTAAACGCAATCAAATATCCCAAATATAATGTCATGTCCCTGCTTTTGCCTCTTCAAAGGCACCTAGCCCTCAGAGGTGCTTTCTAAGCACAGCATGCTCCAAGCAGCCCCCAGTCTGTCCCAGATTGTAAGTGAGCAGACATCGGGTAAGTTAGGTGTATGCCGTGGCCACCGGGGGTCAGCGTATCCTGAAGGATTGACCATATTTTGTCATCTATTCCTGTTACCAAAAAAGAAAAAAAAAAAAGCTTTGACAAAACCCACCAGGGATTGCAGTTCTATGAAATATGTCTTTACTTCTTGCCATTTGAAAACTATTTTAATCCATTTTATGATTTAGATTTGAAGTGAATTGATACCCAGTCTAATTTTCTATTTTTTATCTCATTAACAAAAAGAAAACAGCTTTTTTTCCCCTCCTAATATGCCTCCCAAATGTAAATACTGTATTCTAGGTGAAAAGAATGCCCCATAATACTGGCTGACTAGATGGTTCAGAAGAAGCCTCAGTATGGCACTGAGACTGGTGAGACTCCTGTTCAGAAAGCAGCTCTCTGTGTGGGGAACTGGCTCCTTAGAAAATTAACTTCCTTTAAGAACAAAAACAGACAAGATGCAGTCAGGAAGCAACAGGTTGCCCTTGACTGACCTTCCCTCCATCCTTTCTTTAGCACCTAGCACTTGGACATGGTTCTCAAACTCAGAAGCGTGCCACAGGGTTGGTCTGTGAAGGTTGCCCCATGCGAACAACTGACTCCTTTTATCTTCTGCAAAGATCTTACACAAAATAAGATTGTCTTCTTTCAGTTCACTTATTTCGGTCCTAGCTTGTTTGTGCCAAGTCTATTGAGTGGCAGCCTACTGTCTCCTCGAGGGCAAGGACTGGCCTTGGATTCATGCATGCGTTGAACATTTATTGAGCACCCTTTGTGTGCCATGCACAGAGCTGAGAAAAGGCCCAGCCCCTGCCCTCCTATTTGTATTTTAAAATGAGTTGCTGACACTATATGTGCATGCGAGAAACATTTCCCTGGAAGGCGAGTGCTTGGAGAGTGACGTGTGCTGTCTTTCAAAGAACCCACAGATAGACGTAGTGGCAGCCTCCTCTAAGGGATATGAAATAAACCCTCCAGACAGTGAAGCTTGGAATACATTAAAGGAAAATGCATCTGTCTCTCACGGTCTCATATTTTCTTTTACTGACTTGGAGTTCTTTTTTAATGATAATCAATATCTACTGGCATTTCTGAAAGCCACAGTTAGCATAATTGCCATTTCTGAGCTGAGCACCTGTCTATGCAGGATCCTGACTAGACGAGGAATTCATCTACCAGAGAGAATCACAACAGGAAATGCATTCAGGAGGAGGAAGGTAGAAACAGCCCTAACCTTCTGCAGCAACGTGCAGACACCCCACGGCAGAGCCTTTTCCAACCAAGGTCAGAACAGTACCGTCCTTTTGTGGCAAGTTCCCTACAATCCAGAGAGTGACCGTGGTGCTTGTAAAGTATCTATCAACAGGACCTTTTGGGGATCCTTAAATTCATGACTAAAATCATCTTCACATCCCTCCATCAGAAAAGAACAGCAATAAACGAAGCCAAGCAGCTAAAACGTAAAATATGGAGTCAACTCAAAAACTCAAGCACTCACCAACCAGTTCTTTCGCAGAGTCTTCTAAATGCCTGCAAGCTGTCTTCAAGTTGAGCTGCTCAACTTTATGAACTGTGAAATGTCTACTCTCTATCTCAGCCCATGTACACCATTCAAGTTTATGAAGTTGTAGCGAACTGCCCATTCAGCTACATTGCAGTGTTTATTCTTGTCTCGAAGAAATGCGACAACCTTATGTCCGTTCCAGCTGGTCAGACACATGCGTAAACAACCTCGGCTCACATTGCTGGGCCACCTGCACATCATCCACATGCCTCTCTAAGAAGTTCAGGGGGCGGGTGAGCATGGACAGAGTCTGACGTTGCCCAAACACCGTGTGTAATAAGTCTCTCTTCATGCCCTACTGTCTGTAAGCTTAACATTCTGAATAACAAACTGGAAAACAAGATAGTTCTCCAAAGAATCTCATGAACTGTTCAAAGGCGATTTTACTTGCAGTCTACCAAAAAAGTTGCATTTGTTGTTGGGCACGTGAGGCTTCCGGAGCAAGCCCATCACACCCATTTCCACTGTTGCTAGAAATCTAAAAGCTGCTAAGACGAGTCCAAGGTGCAGAGGGCAGACGATGGACTAGCACTGCTCCCAGACTGTGGGGTGGTGATCTTGCAAGAGTGCTGTGACCCATCGTGTTAAGTCACGTCTTTGAGGACTGCTCCCAGACTGTGGGGTTGTGATCTTGCCAAGAGTGCTCTGACCCATCATGTTAAGTCACATCTGAGTCTTCAAGGCTCCTTGTTTTGAAATTTGTCTCATTGAGATAACCAGAAACAAGTTCATGTTGATTTTGTTTAAAATTGTCTTCTGTAATTGTGCTGCTCTGTCTAACTTCTAAGCTATGAGTTTTGTATTAGAGCTTGTCAGATGGCAGATTTCCTTTGTTTACAGTCTTGTGTAGGATTGCTGTGACCATATTATGTTAAGTCAGTATAGGGCTTGGCTAGTTCCCTAACTAAAAGCTTTTCTTCCCATTTTCGTATTATGTTCCGTTTAAAATAATGTTTCAGTTAAGATTAAAAATTGAAACTGGAGAATCTGGGGAATTTTCTTAACTTAAATGGAAATTGTGTGTTTTCAAAGGATCTTGGAACTGTCTGTAGAATTCTTGGCTGGGAAAGCTGTTGGGTTGTTAACTATAAGTTAGCAGTTGAGTTACTTCCCAGAGCATTATCTCATGGGCTCAAAGTGTACCTCAAGATAAACGCAGATGTTATGTCTAAAAAAAAATTCATTGTCGATTTAAATGGTTCTGAAATGTCTATAAGTAAAGAAATTTTCAAAATTGTTCTTGCAGTTTTTCCTGACTGAGTCAGACTTAGTGCATGGTTTTTGAAGGCCTCGGTCTCCATCCGTTTAGGCAGAGGGAGCTGGTTTGAAGGGATTCCTAATACTGCAAGGCCTGTTCTGAAGAGATACAAGGCAACAGCTGTGGTGCTTAGAAGACGCTGGCAGCCAGGCAACCCCATGACATTTAAAGAGGCGACAGTGCCTGTGTGGTCAAGAGGTGGAGCGGAAGACAAAAGTAGATGTTTTTTGTTAATATTTTGAAGATAAGCATACATATTCTGGTCTGGGCATGGCTCATACAAATTCATATCTTTGTCCTTACGTGTAGTTCAGCTGATACAGTCACCACAGCATAGAAATGCTCAAGGCTGATGGAGAAGAGGCCGGAGCATCACACCTGCTGCGTACGGCAAAGGCAGGTGAGTTCTTCAGAAAGGCTAGAGACGGACTAGTTCGGTTGAGAGCTTTTATTGCATTCAACCCAGCATAAATGCATTTTCTGACATTTTAATGCCCTCAATCTTCCTGATTGCTTTTGCTAGACTAAACATCTCCAGGATTATTCATTCTGCCTCTCTCAAGCTCCGGTCTCACTCTCCTGCTCCACAGGGGTGGGGTGTGTCCATTACCCTGAATTTCAGAGCTGTGCACGGGAGCCAATAGGTTTGACGGAAACTTTCCAAAGATGTTTGTCAAGATCCTAAGATTCTGGGGCTGGAGAGATGGCTCGGCAGTTAGGAGCACTGACTGTTCTTGCAGAAGACCCAGGTTCGATTCCCAACACCCACATGGTGTCTAACAGCCATCTGTAACTCCAATTCCAGTGGATCCGACGCCCTCTTCTGACCTCTGAGGGTATGGCATGACACGGGTGCACCTACCTACATGCAAGCAATACACCCATACACATTAAATAAAAATAAATATTTTTTTAAAGATCCTAAAATTCCTAACATCAGGCATACACTAGGAGACTTGACTTCTCAAATTGGATATTATTGCCAAGAAATTTGAAGCTAGAAATAAGTTGGATTGGGATCAGATGTCCTTTGATTCTTATGTGCCCAGGAAAAGCATTATCTATTGAAAGCTGAAAGTACTGGATACATCCTAACTTTGCTGAAATGCTTTCCCCTTAAGATGCCTGCTCACCTCATTCCCTCATAACTTGGAGAACTCATCCACAGGCTTTGAGAATCAGGCCTCGTCCCCAGGCTGAGTAAGCTTCACCACTTTGTGCTGACAAGAACCTGTATGTATCCACTCTGTCCCTTGGTATCACGGCATATGTCTGTAGTCTTCAAAGTCAGATGCTGCTTGAGCCGATGTTGAGTGAGCATCAATGTTGTGGCATTCCTGGTGGTGGCCAGTAACTATGACAATGAACAGCGAGTCTGCAGCCACGGGATGACAGGAAGAAGTCGTTCAAATGAAGGCCAGGTATAGCCCAATGCCTGAGGCCCTTAGCTCAGTCTTCAGCACCAAAGGCTGAAGTCAAGTGAGTGATGTCAGTGGCACGTGCTGTGTAACATACAAGACAGGCTACGAGGGAGCGAAGCATGAACTTGCTTAGGGAACCAGGTTGAGTTTGGGTTGTGATAAATGCAACAAGAAGTTTCCTAAAGTGAATAACTGTTCTCACTTTAAGTCAGTGGCTTCCCCTTTGTGATGGATGTGAAAATGAACCCAAGAGATCAGTGTGTTCATAGACTAACACAAATATTTGCTTCAAAGATACAAGCAAAAGAAAAAAATTTAAGAAAGAAACTGGGCGTGGTAGCACACACCTTTAGCCCCAGCACTTGGGAGGCAGAGGCAGGTCGATCCCTGAGATGGAGGCCAGTCTGGTCTACATAAAAGACAAAAAAAAAAAAAAAAAGACATAAGCAATTGAAACGTAGATAAATAGATGTGTTTAATGACCTAAGCTAAGGTGCTCTTGGGCCAGGAGCAGTAAGAGACAAAGATATAACCCAGGTCTGTATCCTCCAAAACCCAGCTAACCAGGAGGCGTAGTGCTGAGTATGGAAAATGCCATCCACAACAAAATAGAAGTTAAAAGACAAAGGGGGTGTTGGAAATGAGCAGGCCTAGTCTACATCTTAGCTTTTGGGTTTTTTTGTTTGTTTGTTTGTTTGTTTTGGGGGTGTTTTGGTTTTGATTTTGCTTTTTGTCTTTTTGAGTCAGGGTCTCCCTGTATCCCGTGCCGGCCTGGAACTCACTATGTAGACCAGGCTGGCCTGGAACTCACTATGTAGACCAGGCTGGCCTGGAACTCACAGATATCCACCTTCCTCTGCCTCCCCGAGAGCTAAGACTAAAGGCGTGCACCATCATGCCCAGCTCAGGCCTATTCTGTGTCGAAGGAGTAACACCCATAGAGGGTTAAGGATGCTCCAGAGCACATATGGGTTGTGAGAAAACAGAGAGTAGAAATATAACCTGGGTTCCCGTCTTGTCTTTGTTCCGTTACAACTGTCCCCCAATCTCTTCAACCATTGACTTTCAGAAACGACTGAATGGTTTTGTGTTGCATGAAATGCCCCACCCTGATCCCCTAACTAAACTTAAGAGGCAATCCTCAACTGATCCTCCTTAGTCAATGCTGACTCGAAACAAGAGAAACTGCTAGCCACACTTGGTGGTGCATGCCTGCAATCCCAGCACTTGGGAGGATGAGGCAGGAGAATTATAAGTTCAATACCCGCCTATGCATATACCCCATGTCTGAAAAGAAAACCTCCTGCTTATGAAGTATAGGCTCAGGTTGGAGAGATGGTTCAGCCATTAAAAGTGCTTGCTGCTTTTAGAGGACTAGAGTTTGGTTGCCAGCACCCACACCAGGCATCTCACAACCACCTGTAACTCCAGATCCAGGAGCTCTGACACCCTCTTCTGGCCTCCATGGGCACCCACACACGTGGCAGACACACAGCCACACACACATATAAATAAAAAAAAAATCTTAATTAAAAAAACAAAAAAGAGGACTCTGAGCACATCTTCTGCTCCTTCATCAAAAAGGATGAACCAGCCAGGTGTGGTGGCATACGCCTTTAGTCCCTGTGAGATCAAGGTCAGCCTGGACTACATAGCAAGGTGGGGCTACAGGGAGACCCTGTCTCCAAAAAATAAAAAAATGGCTCAGTGGAAATACTGAATAAGACAAGTGCAGGATATAAAGTGTAAACGACTTTCAGAATAATAGCCTGTGCACACACCTCATTCTGATCTGTATGTATAACCTCCAAGCTAGAACAGCATAAACTGCCCCTTGGTGGAGACGCGCCTGTAGTACCAAATGTGGCCACAAGGTGTCGGGCTCTTCCACCAACCCCTCTTTTTGCCCAGGATCACGCCAGTCAACTCCGAGTAGTTCAATGGTGAGTCAAGGATCAGAAACGTTTTCGGTCCAGCCACGTTGGAGGTCTCAGTCTTTCTTTAGTCACTTATGATCCCCCGTCAACGGCTTTGGAATCTCAAGGTTATGAAAATGAGTAAACGGCAGTGGCTCTAGATAAACAAGGAATTTGAATGTAGGGCGCTGGGCAGGTTTTTGAAGTCAGGTGTTGGCTTGGAGAGGGCAGAGGACATTTCAGAGGCCTTACCGGTCCTGCTGCTGCTGCTGCTGCTTCTGTGTCTCCGGAATTTCCAAAGTGTCCGAAGCTTTCATGAAAGCGAGGTCGTACTTCTTTTAATTCCATTGAATGGTTTTGAGCAAAACTCTGAACCTGGAACAAAAATCTATTGCATAACATTACACTAAAGTTGGCTTTCTTCGTCTTCTGCCTTCAACAGCAAACCTAAACCCATTAAAACGGTCTTGAAAGAACAGAGAGGAAGGATAAATTCTAAGGAAGGAGGTTGTCAAATGAGTATTTTCTATAAATGTTTCTACTTCATAATGTTATTGACAGTAAAGCAGCTGAGGCTTGAGAGAGATGGTCAGCAGTTAGAGCACTGGCTGCTCTCCCAGAGGACCACCCCAGCACCCTGTCCAGTGTCTTGCAACTGAGTGTAACTCCAGCTCCGGGTATCCAGCGCCCTCCTCTGGCCTCCAATGGCAGCTTTGCATTCATGCACATACCCACATACAGACACACATACACATGTAATTAATAATAAACTTTTAAAAAATAATTTATTGAGCATTTCATACATGCGTATAAGGTGTTTTGATCAAATCCTTGCCCACTCCCTCCCTTCCAACTCCTCCCAAATCTCCCCATCCCTTTTTTCTGATAACTTCATGTATTCTTTCTCCTCTCCCTCCTCCTCCTCTTCCTCTTCCTCCTCTTCTTCCTCTTTTTTAATGGGGCTTTTGACTACTCTAACATTCCCCCTTCTGAAGAGGTAACCCTAAAATCTTTTAAGGATTAGATAAGAGCTCCCAAATACTTTTGACATTTTTGGCCTTTGGAATGGAGTATGTTGCTAAGAGGCCCAAGGACATTTTGACTTTTAGCGAAGAAACTGGCTACTTTTCTTTGGGGTCTTTTTACCCTAACTGCCTAGCCAGTTCCTACCTCCTATTCTTATTACACCATCCTCTGAAGAGGTTACCCAACTTGTGGATAGGAAATTGGGATGCAGACCTCTCTAGCTTCTTCCATGATGAACAGGGACTAGGGTGAGATAATTGGGGTACCTTCAGTGGATCTATCTAAAATATGAATTACATAGTTCTTATCTGTAGGGGGAAATGAAAGTCCTTGACTGGTGAATAGGAGATGTGAAAGAGAAGTAAAGGCAAGAATAGTTAGCATTACAAGTTCTAGACAGGGAACTAGAAACAAGTCAGAACAGGGCAAATTTCAAATGTTCATATCAGAGTCCATTGGGATTTCCTGATGGGAGCTTTCTAAAAGCGTCCCTCTATGGGGTTCCTCCTCATTTTTCTTTTTTCTGCCAAGGCTGGACTTGAGAGTGATGAATTCAGGATTTGCTTTCAGGCATTTCTATAACTGTTGGTGTAGTTGGAATCAGTGTCATTTCCCT